CTTGCACACCACTCCGTAAAGTGAGAACAGTGAGGTCTTTCCTCACTGGGAAGGGGTCCTCCCTTTTAGCTCTTACCTAGTAAGGAAGCATCTAGGCATAACTTCTCAAATTGGCCAGAGGAACTGGGAGACCCATTAAACTTTCCCAGGTGGACTGGAAGAGCTCCCACTGTCTGAGCCCTTTCCCAGGAAGGAGACATGATTCCCTGCCCAGGAAGGAGACAGGGGCATTGCATGGGTGGCTGGAGCTCTCCATGGTGCTTTGATGCTGAGCGTCCTGGAAGCAGCTTCATGAGCTCTTCTGCACAGGCCACGACTAGCAAGGAGCACCAAGAGGGGTTTAAAACCTGAGCCAGCACTTGAACATCATGGAAGCCCGTGGTCAACTGCATGGAATTTGTTCCTAGTTCGCTGATGCAGGCAGAGGCAAGTGCCTGAAATGGTGAAGAGAAGAAAGGGTGAAGAGAAGCCTTTCATGAGGCACGTGCACCAAGTCACTGGAAGGAGACAGGACTGCAGTCACTTAAAGGCTAATGAGCAAGGCACGTAGCAGCACCCCTGGGGTGGGGATGTGAGTGGTTTGTTAAGTGGAGAATGAAACAGCAGAGCTCCCGTACTGCAGGGCTCCCAAGAAGTGCCAGGTATCCAGCMCGTTCATTCATTACCTGCTTAACAAGAACAAAATTGTTGCACGTTTTAATAAAATGTTGTCGATAAAAATGTGTTTTAAGGGCTCATTTTGCAAGTATTTTTTCAATTTTACTAAGGGTTTACCTGGGTTGCGAATGAGGATGGTGTTTTCACTTGGTGGTGATGTTTTAATGTTAAAACTAAATTTTTCTGGGTTGACTTTGAAGATGTACAGGTTATGCTGATTTGTGATGGTTTTGTAGTTTGTTTTTCAACCTAGTGAGTAAGGTTTAGGTATCGAGTCACCTAATTCTGTTATTATAAGTAATATTAAGTAGAAGTTTCTTAGCTATGTTCAGCAACTGTGTAAAATACAGGGGATTACTCTTTCATAGAAATGTTTGTTTATTCTTGCATATTTAGTTTTCCAAAATAATGTGGGTTGGTGTTTTTTCTTTTTTTCTTTTTTTTTCTTTTTTGGAGGATTCCCCTATTTCATAGTGCCAGAATACATCTTATTTAATTTTTAAATTAAATACTAATGTACAAAAGTAAATAATTTGAACATCAGTTTTCTCCRTTAAAAACAGTAGCTTTTCAGTCTGCAGATCAAATAATCAGTATGAAACAATTGAATAGTGAACTTAAGATTAAAAAAAAATGCATGTTTTACTATTATTTTGCATTTGCATTTCTGGCAGAAATATGTAGGGATTTGAACTTGTTTCTGTAAAATGCTGCRTATTCCTCAACTCTTGTAATACCTGTCCTAAATAACTGCTCTAATTCTTTCTCTGTCTGTCCTTCATGTGATAGTTGGTATGCATTTTCATAAATATATTTATTGGCATTCCATCTCTTTATGTGAATTGTTCATACATTTTTTCTGAGGTGACTAAATTGTTCAGTGCTGCATTTATGTTTGCTTTACACTTCAGCCCACTAATTGTTTGTGACCATCCAATGTTTCTTATTTTTTTATTTGCTTTTTT